TTAAAAATATGCAAAAGATTAGAAGTGGCATTTCTCCAAAGATGATATGCAAATGGCCAACAAGCATATGCAAAGATACTCAACATCATTAGTCATCAGGGAAATGCAAATCAAAACTACACTAAGATATACCTGGTTGCCCAGGAGGTGGCTAGTATCTTTTAAGGAAAAAAAAAAAAAAGCCAGGTATGGGGCACATGCCTTATAACCCCAGCTACTCCAGGGGCTGAGGCAGGAGGATCACTTGAGCCTAAGAATTCAAAGCCAGACTGGAAAACATAAGGAAATTCCATCTCAAAAATCAAAACAAAGAATGAAGCATAGTAGTACATGCTTATAATCTCAGCTACTTGGAGGGTGGAGATTAGGAGAATCAGTTTGAGGCCAATCCAGGTAAAAAGTTAGAGAGACCCTATCTCAACTAACAAGATTGGCATGGTAGTTTGTACTATGATCCAACCATGTGGGAGGCATAGGTAGAAGAATCACACCTGAGGCAGCCCAGGGCAAAAATATGAGACCCTATTTGAAAAATAACTAAAGCAATAAAGGGCTGAGAGCATGACTCAAGTGGTATAGTGCCTGCCTTGCAAGCATGAGGCCCTGAATTCAAACCCTAATACCATTAAAGGAAAAGAAAAATAAAAAGCAACCAGTATTAGAGATGTAGAGAAATTGGAACCATATGACCCAGAAACTCCACTTCTTGGAATATACCCAAAAGAACTGAAAGTAGGGTCTCAAAGAGATATCTGCACACTTACGTTCATGGCAGCACTATTCACAACCACCAAGGTGAAAACAACCGAATGTCTATGGGTGAATAAATGGATAAACAAAATGTGGTAATACAATTGAATATTATTCACCTTGAAAAGAAACAAACTCCCCAGCACATGCTACAATATGGATGAAATGTAAGGACTTATGCTAAGTGAAATAAGCCAGTCACAGAAAGACAAAGACTGTATTATACTATTTAATGAGGTACTTAGAGCCATCAACATCACTGAAGTGAAAACAGAATGATGGTTATAAGGAACTAAGAAAGGTGGTGAGTTGTTTAAGGTCATAGACTTTCAGATGTACTAGATGAAAAAGTTCTGAAGATCCATTTTAAAACAATGTGAATATACTTAACATTATTGAACTGTACACTTCAAATGGCTAAGATAGTAAATTTTATGTGATGTGTTTTTCTACCACAATAAAGGGAGAGGAGGGGAGGAGAGGGGAGGGGAGAGGAGGAAAAGGAAGGGAAGGGACGGGAAGAGAAGGAAAGGGAACTAAATGAAATGAAACAAAATTCAGGACATGATTTTGTTATGATTGCCACCATCAATGTGTCAACATAAAACCAAAATGAAGATTGACAGGACCTGTTTCAACCCACTTTACTGTGGAAAAAGAAATGTAAAAATCAGTGCCCAGTTAATCCCAAACAAAAACTCTTCTATATTCACATTACACTGGACCCACCACTTCCCAGCTTCATCTCTAGGCAGGAGCTATGGTGGCCACCTTTGTGCTATTACCACAAAGTCAGGAACAGATTTGACTGCATTTTTACACAGCCTAGTTACAAAAAGCAAGCACTCAGGTAAGTGTTTGCTGTACTGAATCCAAAATAATTTAGGTGCAATGACATTCACAGCTGGCAGCAAAATTCTTAAAACTGGGTTATAAAAATCTCTAGGACAAAATGAAACAACAGCTGAGTCACTGAACTATAGCTGAGATGCCCAAGTCTGGCATTTGATGACATTTATATCTCTGTGGAGAAATGAGCCAGCAATGTCATCCATTCAACTTGGTAGCACTGATTTCAAAACCTAGTGGAATCATTTTCCAGAACAACTTTTGAGAATTTAGTGTTAGTGGGAATCCCCTAATGTGAAAAGTGGGCTTCACACTATATCTGAAAAGACAGATCTTCTGAAATAGTTCACTGAGGTGGTACCACCTGGCACTGCATTGTGCCTGTCCTCCTGGGAATCACAAACCTGTTAACATAGAATCAATGACTTCCCATTTTGGACAAGTGGCCACTTAGCAGGCAATTTATTTCTATTCAGGTCGCAAAGAAGCCACACTGTTCATTTTCTAATCTATTTGTGGTTTGTGGGCTTCATAAATAGATTTTTGTCTGCACATATGACGGTTGTCTAAATTTCCTGGTATTGACTATGTCTCAAGGATAAAACAAAGTCACCTATAACATCTCAGCTGGATTCACAGACCTTATACTTAGCAGTTATGTGACTGGGTAGGTCATTTGCTTTCAAGCCTGATTCTTCAGCTGTAACATGGGACCAATATCAGACATTCTATAGGGTTGTTATATAAATTAAATGAAAGGATCCATTTCAGAATCTTGTATGTAAAAGAAAGGGGAAGTTATTTCCCCTCCTTTTTTCATTGATCAAGAACAGTGTCAGTAACTTTGGTCTATAAAGGGCCAACTACGAAGTATTTTAACCTTTTCAGGCTACGCAGTTCCTATCACAACTACTTAAGTTTGTCAGTGTCAGGCAAAAGCATCCATAGACAGTGAGTGTGGTTGTGTTTCAATAAAACATTATTTTAAAAAATAGGCATTTGGTGAGCTTTGGCTCACAGGCTACGGTTTGCTAACCCCTATTACCTATACCATATATGTCCAAATGTCATGCTAAGTTAATTTTCACCATTCTGTTAGAGTCCATCTGCTCCAGATATACCCTTCCCTTTCTCCTCATTGCTTTTATTCTATTCCTTGAATGAACAAATGGGTTCAATGGCTTGACTCACTTTTTTTCACTTTTCGTTTTATGTCTTAAGAAACTCCCACCAGGGAGCGAGTACTCAGGCCTTCTTTCCCCCTATCTAAACATCTTCAAAGTCCCATCCAATGTTTAGCATCTCAAGAGAGCTCCCCAGGCAAATCCTAGCTCCACTGACGTTTTTTCTCTCCAATACTACAGCATTTACATGCAGTACATATTGGTCACTTCTGTAGGAGAAGAGATGAGAACACTGAGTCGATACTATGGGTTATAGAGAAGATTGGATAGTCTCAGCTTCCTCACCCATAAAATGGGATTAGTATTATGGTTGTGAGGATTGGATACAAAATATTTGATCCATGTTAATAATTATTAATGTTATTATTATCTATTTCTGTTAACTTTTTCCTTTTTAATGAACTTGGTTATTTTATGAACTGGTTATTTTGTTCTTATGTACTATACTTTAACCAGTGCCTGGCACAGAATAGTGTTCAACTATGAATAGATGTAAAACCTTGGAGTAGTAGTTCCAAATCAGTCACAAGGGTTATATCAATATTCTCTATCAAATCTGGATGGCTCCCAAACACTTTGCTCTCTCCTGCTGTAATAGATTCCCAGTGAGGGAGAAACTCCAACATGATGCAATAGAAACAAAGTGTACAAAGAATGACAGACACAGGTTTGTGTCTAAAGTTCCCAAGCAAAAGGGTCAGTCAATTGGTCTAACTATTTCAGCCTGAGAAAAACAACGTAAACTCAATGAACCTCTATTTCCATCAAAAAAGAGAATAATCTGGCATGACCTGTCTTCTTTATATAATGTCTGTGAAAATCAAATTTAAAAGTATATCTGGAAGAACTTTATATACAGTAAAGTGCTAGGCAAATGATAAAAGGAATGTCTTTTATATATCACTGAAAAGAACCCATAATAATGATCAAATTAACTAGATCTATCTCCAATAGTTTTGGGGAAAGGGCCACTACCACAATAATCATAGTGAATCCCAGATCTCTCTTTTTATTTATTTTTTATTAGGATATATTCATTATACAGGGGGAATTCATTGTGACAATTTCAAATAGGCTTATATTGTACATTGGTTAGATTACCCCCGTCATTTCTCCCCCTCAACCCTCTCCCTGCCCCACTTAAAGCAATTGCAAGAGGTTTCTTTATTCTCTTTCATATAAGTGTATGAAGTCCATCCACCATATACCCTCACCTTACTCTCCTTCATTCCCCCTCCCCCTCCCACAAGTACCCCTTGTTATTAATATTTAAGTCTATGTTCCAAGGGGTTTCTCAATGTGTCCTTGACTTTACTTTGGTCTGTTCAACCCCTTTCATTGGTCTCCCTGCCCTTTTACCTTCCAGATTCTCCTCCATTTTTCAATAGCTTTTACTACATATTCTAATATAGTTAACCTACTATAAAGATGTTATGTCTTACGACATTGATGTTCTATTATTCTCTTTTCCTTCCCTCCTTCCTCAAGTTCCACAGAGTAGTTCCACTGTTACAAACATGTTCTACATATGAGTTTGTATATGGTCATAGCCCAGATGTCTTTTAAAGGATGGAATCATAACTTTTATCATGGAACTCATACATGAGAATTTTGATAGGTCTGCCCTCAAAGATTTCATCATATTTAATAATTCATTATTAAAGTACACATTTATCCAAAATGTCAATTCCCTATCCTATAGCCCACAGAGATACACATGGTATAGATGTCATGGTTATAAGCCAGAGGTCTTGGAAAGGAAGAAGAATAAAGAAAAACAAAGATTCCCAGTAAGTTATAAATGTCTTGTCTATTTCAACAGGAAGGCATTAGCAACGTGGAAGCTATTCTGGGGCTGAGAACAAGTGAGAAGCACTGAAGGTACCTGGAACATTCTATTCATGTATTCCTAAGGCACTTGTGTGTACATAGCTATTATTCTGTTATAGTTTGTGTTATATACCCATCTACCATTCATCAGGAACCTGTTAAGTTGAGCACCATCAACAGAACTCTATACCAGGCAGCTAATGCATTGACAAGGGCAGTTCCTAGTGATGCAATATGCAGTGATAATTGTGCTTTTTCCTTTCTCTGAGGAATCAGTTAGGTTTATCAAAAATAGTAACACATTTGATAAAGGAGTAGAAAGATGGCCTTTTCCCAACATTACTTTCAAGTATCAGGTAAGAAATTATTAGGTTAAGACTACCTTACCTCTATTTTTTCCCATATGGCTTCATAATTGTCTTGATGTTGAATATCTTGCATTAGTTTCTGGATTAAGGCTGATTTTGTAGCAGAATGGCTCTCATTTTTCTCAGAGGATGAGGCTCTCTCTGACTTCTCATCAAGGTATTTTTTCATGCCAGAGAGAGGCATATACAACTCCTCATCAGAAAGAATGTCACTCAGAGGTCCAGATTCAATACTCTCCCCCAGGGAAGAGGCTATGTCACTGGATGAGCTTGGAGACACCCTGCCTTGCCTTGTATGTTTTTTCTTGATGTGGTATGTTGGATAGATCTCAGAATCTGAATTCATTTCAGACAGTTCCCAATCATCAATATTCTGAATGGTTTCTCCTCTAGGTTTCTGAGGCAGAAGCTTTGTGAGATTTTCCAACTTCAAAGCTAACACTTCTGTCTGCTTAAGGTGAGATGGCAGTGCCAAGTATTCATCGGAACCATACCAGGCCTCCACAACCTGACCGTTCCTGGTGACATGACTTGGGGAAGAGGAACAACTTTTTTTATCTTCCTGTTTGGAAAGAAGGGGTACAGGAGACATGATGTTATCTGAGCCAACAGAGGACTCACTACTCTGAGTGAAGGGTGGTGAACTGGATGTTTCTGACTGCACTGGCAATTTGCCATTCCAACTTCTCTGATTACACAGCTCAACTGAGGATGTGGAAGCAGAATCTGTTTCTGGTCCCTCTATGGCCTTGGAAACACCAGAAGGCTTTCCATTTCGCATTACTGGGCACTTTATGTTTTCAGTCTGCTTGCCAGAAACAGTTCCCCGTTTAGGTACTTGGCATGCAGACACCTCTTCTGAGGTCTTGTGTGGTTTCTTCAGTTGTGGTTTCTCTTTATGGTAGTCGTTAAGCCTTCCCAGGCTGGAAGAGATTTCTTTAATGTGACTTTTGACTATATTTTCAAGATTCCCAACCCCTACCTTGTGCAAACACTCATAGGACTGGCTGGCAGCAGATGGGCTGTTGGGGTAGGAAGACTGTAACACCAGGCAAAGTTTAGATCTGTCAGGAGGGTCCACCAGTGAAGGGGTGCTTCTGCTCATCTCTGGCTTCAGATCAACCATCTGCTTCCTACCATCACTGCCTTTCAGATCATTCTTAAAAGTTTCTTCTTTAAGGAAAAGCCCTCTTTTTGGCAATGTGGGCTGGGTGGGAGAGTCCTCGTTATAATTAAAGCAATCTCTGATGGATCGCTTGGGGGTTGTATTTTCACAAGGAAGAGGCTGTTGGTTCTTCCCACCAAAATGTGGGGAGGAACTAGATTCTTGCTTCGTACTGTCAGAAGAGGGCAGAACAGTATTTGTTAGTGCTTCCCCTGAAGATGACATTCCCAGTGTTAGATCTTGTTGTTCTTCAATGGCAGAAGCTTTGTTTTCCTCACATCTACCTTTGTCCTCTGCTGAAAGAGATACTTGAGATGTCTCCTCACTGACTGCTTCACTGCAGGTGGAAGGGATGGGGTCAGTAGCCACTGAAAGTAACCCAACACTTCGGATAAGCTCAGGGAACTCCTTTTCCATTTCACTGTAGCTCCAAGAGTCAAAAGGTTTGGTTTTGACCTGGCTAGAGGTCATGTCACCCAGGCCACCAAGCAAATCCTCACTTGGACTGTAGTCAGACAGTTCAAATGCAGTAATGCCACAATCCAGAGACAAGTAATTTTGAGAACATTTAATAGTTAACTGTCCTGAGTCATCCACTTCTGTTAGAGAATCAAGCCGGCCCTGAAACAGAAAACAGTAATGATTTCAGTAAACATGGCATCAATTACCCTTGACTGATGTTCAAATAAAATCTCAACACAGGCTGCAATGAAGGTCAGAAACGTATCAGCCACAGTTGCTTCTCCTTGGACATACGGAAGGGCATATTAATCAATTACCACATTGCTTCATGTATAGCATCTAGTTCTTAAATATTTAAAGGTTGTTCTTTAATCTGAAGTATAGAGCCTTAATAGAAATGGTCAAGATCAAGCTCAAAATATTCATTCTTATTTTTATTTTCTATTTAAAAATCATGTGTTAATCATTTAATAAGCATTTCTTAAATAAATCTTTAAGTAACAAAATTTCAGAGAACAAAGTACTGTAAAAGTAAAATCTTGGGCTGGACGTGTGGTTCAAGTGTTAGAGTGCTTGCCTAGCAAATGATTGCAAAATCCTGAGTTCAAACCCCGGTACCACCAAAAATAAAACAAAACAAAAAAAACTCTATGGATGTCCATTTTGTTTTCAGATATCACTCCATCATCCAACACAGGTAGTTAGGTCACAGTAGATGCTTAATAAATATTTTACAGTGGAGTAATTAATTATATTAATCCAATTATGTAAAATATATATGCACAAATCATAGGAGGTGAAATGCTGAGTTTGCAAATACATAAAACAGTTTAAGATTTATTTCTGCTTGACCCCATCTTTCAAAGGTATACACAAGTTATCGTGGAGAAAATTAATGAATACCAAGTTTATTATCGTTGCCCTATCTCCTTCCTCTGCAGGTGTTTCTCCCTCTCCCAGCTCCCACCAACAGTTGGTTACTAACTGCCCACCTCTCTTATTATTTATAATTCCAAGGAAACTATTTTGCATACTAAAAAGTAGCATTACAAATAATCATTTTAGCTTTCTGTTCTTTAGTTGAGTGGTTAAGACTTTTGTGTCATCACTAATACAGTTTCTAATATGCCACAATAAACAGGGATTTTTGATTGATAACATGGGATAAAAGAGCCCCTGGAATCCTACTAAGCCTTGCCAAGCTGAAGGATAGCCTGGTCTGATCCAAGTCTTTTGGGAATGAAGGGAGAAAGCTGAGGAGAGGTTGGTATATACTGGACCTCTGTTCTTCTTGAGAAGGGACTGTAGTGAAACCTACTGAAACCAGGCCCCATGTAACTGCTAGAGCCTATGCCTCTTTCAGCCAGGGTATCCAAGATCTTACATGGGATTTTATTGTTCATTTGTTCATTTTATTTTTGGAATGCTCTCTCTCTTTAGAACTTTCCCATGCCTTTATCTCCCACTGACTCCAACATCTAAATAATTCAAATAATAATGATGAAAAGCATTATTTACTGTCTCTAAGCCTCAGTTCTCTCATTCATAAATGAGTATGGTTGATTACTATTATTACTGCTTCAGTTAATCCTTACAACTTCCTTCTGGGATCTGTACTGTTGTTCTGTTTTACATAAGAGGAGCCTGAGCCAAAAGAAGGAACATAAGTAGACTCTGGCCTCATATCCAAGGACCAAGCTAGGCTTGGACTGAGACTGTCTAACCAAAAGTCCAGCTCTGACTGCTGGATGTTGCTTTAAACTGACATCTACCCTCCCCAATTAGTTTTCTACACTGCCACCAGGGGAACCTTTACAAATTGCAATGTGGTGTGGCTATTTTTCTGCTTAAAATTCTTTAGTAGCCTCCTCTTGCTGTCAGGTTAAAAATCCAAACCCTTCTAAGGCTAAGCAGAAAGAGGCTTCTGTCATTCCACTTTCCTCTTCCTGGTTGCACCCGATCACAGTGTCCTCCTTTCAGTTTCTGAATATACCACTTTCCCTCCTGCCTCAGAACCTTTGTATGTGCTGTTTCCTCTCTAGAAAGCTTCCCAACAACACGGCTTTAACCATATGACTCTTCCTCATCCCTTAGATCTTAGCCAAAGTTTCTACTTCTTCAAGATTCCAGACCCTTACTTAAACCAGAATCTTTTATTGTAAGCTCTCAATCTATACTATTTTCCCTTTAAGCATTTAACCCAATATAAGTAAATACTACTGTGATTATTTGACCAATTTGCTTCTCTTACTGTTTCTAAGCACCATGAGAGTATTAGTCACCTAGAAAATGGCTGCCCAACGAGGGGACCTACAGGATTCTGCATAGAGGTCTGTATAGAGTAAGCACTCAAAGATACATCTATTGATTGAATGAAGGATGACATTTTGGAATGTCTCTCTATGCCTTCATATAACTTCTTCCTCTGATTATGTACTTTTAGTTGACTCCAATGATTAAAAGCTCCAAATTTCAGAGTCAAATTCTGGTTATAGAACTAATTAACTATGTGATTATTAGCCAGTAGCTTGATGTTGCAAAGTCTCATTTCTTTCATCTATAAAAGAGAAATGATAAACCATGCCACAGGGAAACCGAGAGACTTAAAGGAGACTATGTAAGATATGAGTCTAGTACATGGATCAGTGCTCAATGAATGTTCACTCTTGTTACTTATTATATTGTTCCTTATAGTAATAAAATAATAAATTGAGGAAGAAACTATCAATAAGATGAGAGTTACCTCTAAATGCTAAATTATATTACACAAAGTAAGTAATCAATATTAATGTCAACCTCAAAGAAAATTGTGTGACTTTTGTGCTTCATACCTGGGCTAGATCCTTTGAATAACAAAGTCAGAAGCCAAAAACAACAAGGAGTTGGTCAACCAAACAAAAGTCACAGTTTATGTAATTTTAAGAGAATAATAGTGAGATTCCCAATTTAAAAGTAGGTGGTATTTTTTAAAAATCTCTTAATTTTTATTACTCAGGAATTAATCTTCTATAGAAATAGTATTACAAATAATGGTCAAGTTCCTAAGCTATCCCATAAGATCTATTTCAGTTGCTCATTGGTTGAAATTTGAAATATTATTTCTGTTTTGTTTATCATAGTTACCGCCCTGAAGTACTTATATGAGGTTAAAGAGGCACTAAAGAAAAGCATTTCTATGATTAATAAAGAAAAAAAAATTTGAGAGTTAAGATAACAATTAGACCTGGAAAACTACTAGCCTCTGCCTGCCTTGAACCAGCATAGAACACCATGCCTCTATGGTATATTCAGTCCCCATTTTGGTGGTCATGGTGCCTTCAGAGCAGCAACACTGTCTTGAGTGATAGGTGCTTAATGGAGAGAATAGATAAATATATTTAATATGTTAGATAAATATATGAATACATCTCAGAGAAGAGAGTATGACTACTTTTCCTAAACTTTCAGTTTCCAGCCAGTCACTGGTTTGGAAATAAAATATATTCAAAAGCATTTAATGGTCCAAATGGAGCCCTCTCTCATTCTGTTCCCAGTTGGTTCAACTATCTCAAATATGGAAATAATTGAGTATTTGTTACTCAAGGATAACTAATTTTTATTCATACTGAATTAATTAATATGAAAAATCCCTCCCTGCTGTTTAAAAAACAAACAAACAAACAACAACAAAAATGTAAGCAGAAGCAGCACAGTCTTGGTCCTGGAGTGTAGCTCAGCAGAAGGTTAGCCTAGTATGTGTGTGAGGTCCTGGCTTCCATCTCTAGCACTGCACAAAAACAAAACAAAAACAAAAACCACCACCACTACCACAAAACCCAGCAGAGTCTTTCACTATGCAGAAGGAATTTTAGTTTTAGGGTTTTTTTCTTTTGTGTGTGTGACGGGGTGGGGTGGGGGGTTGCTAGGGATTGAATCCAGAGCCTGGTGCATGCTAGGCAAGGCAAACATTATACCACTGAGTTACATCCCCAGCTCCATGTACAGGCAATATTGTGAAAAAAAGTTCTCTGAGGTTTCTCAAAGCAGGTGAAAAATGATTTTCAGTATTCAAAATATCATTTAGTAATGCTAATACTTTTAATTCCACTGATTCCTTCCAGAACACCTTCCCAAATAGCTTTCTAACGCACATAAGTAATAAAGTCGTGGATGGATGTGGAGTTGTGAGATGAGTGCATACTAGTTTCACTGACTTTCTCATTTTAGAAATATTCCATTTAATCGTTAGTGCAAATACCTGTGGCAGCTCTGCCTAGCAATGTCTCTACTCAAATATACCTCCATTTAATATGCTACGATGCAGCTTTTCAGGTAAAGGCTCTATTTTATGGAGGTGGTAATTTATTCACTTTATTACTGGCTCCAATATAGTCTCAGATATTAATGAAGCCCCCTTATTTTTTCTAATTTGAAGCAAGAGATTTTTCTTTATTCCTTACCCATAATTAAGTTAACAGAAGCCTAGTTTCAAATGCCTTTTTAGATCTTTTTTTTAATACTTACTGTATTTTGCCACCAACTGCATGTGCAATTTAATACTCATAATTTAAATTTCTCTATTAAAATACTCCAACATTGTATTAGTCTGTTGCTAGTTAACAGTCACTTTTATGCCCTAAGTAAGTGTTTTTTACTAAGATGAGAGTTAGAGAGTCAATTTTACTGTTTCAAGTATGGATATACTAAAAAAACTTACATGCCCTTTTCTATCCTAATCTCACTGCACAAAGTTCCTTATGTTTTAAATTCTAACATATAAATTCATGAATTTCTCCTGCATGCCACACACCCCCAAAAGTCCTCAGACCAGATAGACTAAACTCTTTCAGATTCCTTTCAGCTTTACCATGTTGGGGTTCAATAATTCTGAATGCATTCCCAAGAGCTGAGTATGCTCGCTGAGAAGAGCAAGTAAAATAGGGAAGTGTAGAGCAAAATTTCATTTCTGATGGGCAAGGGGAAAATACATGTGCAATTTCAATATAATTTATATTATAATTATTAAGTATTTCCATTTCTGCAGGTTGAAATTATGAATCAAATAATTAATCTCTAGTATTAATTCACAATCCTCCAACCTAAAGTAGTTATCTCCATATTTCTACACCTGAAGTAGTGATTATCTACATTATTTAATTTCATTTAACTCATCAGGCATT